TCCTCAGACGTGATGCTGGCCAGCCTTGAATAAAACATCAAACTTATTTTTACACCCAGTTGTAATCATTCCAGTCCAGTAAACGTAAAATGCTGGATTACAACTGGAATAAACTGTAATTTTTCCTAGACGTTAACTAGCTAGTTGCGATCGTTGGACTAAATATTAACTGAGCACCGAGTATTTCTAGTGTCTAGGTTTTTATCCTTCTTTTTATAAATTGGAACTGAAAAAAAAATTTATTTTATTGTATGTATTGAATATGACTGTTTGTAGGATGGACTGTATGTTCTTTGGGGCAGTAGAATAATACTGAATTGCCGACAGTTAAACGGTTTATTGTAAATATTTAAAAAGTAAAGATATAATAGATAACGTGTTGTCGAGGTGTCGTTTTGAGCGCAACTAATTGCAGCGCGGTGTGAGGTCGCACGGGGGACGGGCGAGGTGGGAAAGGGTCCCCTCCGCGCGGCTTCCCCGTTAAAGTGCAATAGCACTGAACAGTGACTTAGCATTATACAGAAATGCTTGTAGGCATTCAAAGTTAAAAATTATAAGAATTAACTCAAAGGAAGTTCAACATATTAATGTAATTTACCAAAAGTCAATCAAAGTTTAGTGACAGTGAAAACAAAATGATTTTTAGTTAAAACATTGAATTAGGAAACACAACATTCAAGATGAACAAACAGTGTGAATAGTGAAAAAAAAAACACTCACTTGGATGAATGGTGAGAGGTTACGGTGTTCATATTGAGCACATTCATGCGGCCCTCAAAGCTTTGCAGCGTGCATTTCACCTCGCTCACATACTCTGTACTTTCACAACTACTGCAAAACAATAACGGCCAAGCGTAAACGACAACAAACAAACGAACGAACGAACAAACAAATCATTGACAGACAAATATCTGCTATACGCTAAAGTTTATTCTGATTTATTCCCCAACAAACTTTTAATGTAATTAGTTCCATATTTTTCTGGAAAATAGTAATGATTTTTATATTCATGACTAGACTATAACGATTTAGACATTTTTACTTTGATATTTTAGTCACAAAACACTTTCTGTTATGAAAAATAAAATAAAATGCGGTTCGAGTAATCCCATCCCTACGGAGGGAGGGTCAACAGCATGAACTGCTCTTCCATACATTTCATCTATCATATCTGAATTCCTTTCAGTCGTATAGCAGATATTAGTTTATCAACAATGAAATGTGTATGATTATTAAATTGCACGAATGTATATGTGAAAGAGTTAGAACAATGAACATCCCGTATTACCTGTCCGTGTGACTGGAGTAGAGATGTGACGAGAAGGTGGACGTGAACAGATGCTCCGTCGACATCTCAGAGTGACCCACCGACACGAAACCGGATTCATTCGAAAAACTGACAAAATAATACAAACATCGCATCTCTACGTACTAAACATACCATCTTTATGTAGTTAGACGATAATATCTATCTACATCACCAGCTCATTATACCTGGCCACTAAGGAGCTCTGATCCTACCCTTAAGGGCGACTAGGACACAGTCAACCCCAGTGGCCTACTGCGAGTTGGTTGACTTCACACATATCTTTAAATTTCTTCACAGATATGTGCAGGTTGCATCACGATGTTTTCTTTCACCGTAGGAAAGTCGGGAAAATATTTACATATGAAATTCGAAAATCGAAAATCATATTAGTACATAGCGGAATTTAAAACCCAGGACTTGTAGATTATAAGTCAAGTGCTTAAACCCCTGAGCTACTGACGCAAATAATTGAAGTCCACAGTATGAACGTAAGATGTCAGTCTGTCTCTGTCTTACATTAAAGGTGTGAGTGAGACAACATAACGTACCGGTTGTGGTTGGAGTGCGTGTGCACGTTGTTAACGTGCATCTCGTGCGACTCCATCGACGTGCGGATCTCGTTGGCGCTGTTACAACTGCACATGCCTGGAACATTTAGTATAAAATAATATTATTCAATTGTTTAATTTTTACACAAATAGAAAAAACACAATTATTGTTATTAAATAAAACCAACTGTTAACAAAACAGTATACATAAGTTGATAAAATATAATGTAATAAGCATTTTAATTTCGCATTTTCTCACTACATTTTTAAAAGGTAAAGATTTTTTAAGAAATTTCTTTTTAATATTTCTGAATACTTTAAAATGTGGTATAAACATTAAAAATGAGGTGATTCATACCGACTAAGTCAGAGTTTGGCGGCGTGACGAACACTTGGTCGTTATTGATGGAGTCGTGCGTGCGCTCGTCGTCGTTGGACACGTTCAGCATGGAGTCCAGAGAGCCGCTGCTGTGAGACTGCAGGGACAGTCTGACCAACAACATTGTTTTAGTTAACACGATATTTAAAAAAAAACTATTGCAGGCTTTAATTGAATTCTTCAGCCAATCTGGAGTTACGTACATTTCAAGTTTAGCAATTAGTAGTTTTTTTAACAAGTAATTTTTTTCGTATTATGTACTGGCACAAGTTGATATGAAATTTCCGACCTATGATAATGAATACAGGAGTTAGGGACAATTTAGTAAATTGAGTTTAAGCACCTTTTTTTAAAAATTATCGATATATCCTTTGCTAGTAATAGTTTATAATTAAGTCATTAACTATACTATTGTTTCTATTGCGAATCGATTAACATAACTCGTGTACGATCAAAATGCTAAAGAAGGCAATATCCAACACAATTTACTTTCCTAAGCAAAAATGATTATATTGTTTGCATAATAAATATTCAGTAATACCCAATTAGCTGAAAATAGATGTGTCATAAAGTATTTTTTTAATGCAGACTCATTAAGCCTAATGAAATAGGAATGCAAAGTTCAAATGTTATTAACCGATTTAATTACAAACAAATGGTTTGCTACTATTTCATAATATAAAATAATAGTTCCAGGAATTTTTAATATTATTCGCGTTGTACAAGTTCACAAAAAAAATAAAAATAACAACATTAGTGAAAAAACGTTATAAAGCAAAGTTTTACAACTTTACATCGTATAACTGTTAATATCAGATAATATTATTTAACTAGATAAATCCCTGCTCACTAACATGATTAAAACACACTACTAAGTACACTTATGTAAGAGACGCATTTACAATACCGCTAAAGAAAGTAGAAGTATTACGTAATAAGGAATAAATATAATTTAAAAACGATAAAGAATTATTAAAGTATTGATTTATCAGAAGTTTTGGTTAAACTTTGCGTATACAAACAAACTAATAGACATTTAAAAGAACTTTTTTCTTTGTTCAAGAACTTACTACATGTTTAGTTAGGTACTATAACAAATTAATAATACGTATGAAATTCCCATATGCTGTTTGATATTAATAATGCTTTAATTACCATTCATCCTCTTATCATTTTATGAGGGATGGTAACAAAAAATATAATATTATCTTTCCTGAGTAATGCAGGAATAATTCGATTTACCCGTTAGAAACATTCAAATATTTTCCTCTATAGCCATTATTTTGGTCAGGATTAAATGTGAATGCAAATATGATTAAATTGCATTGCGTGATTGGTGGATAGCGATTGCCCTGTGGACTAACATTGACCAACTCACCTGTCAATGGATAGTGCTAGGAGGGAGTTGTCGTTGGCGGACTTGCGCTTCGGGGGCAGGGGCGGGGCTAACTCGATTTTCCTGCGACACATGATTTCACTTTTATTATCCGAACGAAGTACGATTTCACTAAAAAAAAGTGAAAACGGAAAACGTCGCCTCCACTGCCAAGGTCAAGTTGATACAAAACGTAGCTGACGAACCGGAATCATCGGAATAAACGAAAGTCGACCGCGATTAATTTATAAAGTGAAACTTTAGTTTTTTTGATAAAAACATCAAGTTGCAGATTGAATTCCTATTTTAGTTTTGTTTATTCGATGAATTAAATTGCTTTTTTTTATCTGAATGAACAATTAAATGGGACCATTTTTTTTGCATATTAAACAAAGATCCTTTTAAAACATTTTAAAACCCAGCCACAAAAACAATCACTTTTAGATCTTTTTTTGTGTACATTATTAGTATTTGTAATAATAATAATAATTTTTACCTGATAGGCCTGGCGGGCTTGGGCGGCGGCGAGTCGGGCGCGTCCAGCACGGACTCGGAGGAGTGCGAGGCGCGCACGCCGCTACACTCGCTACCACTCTCACCAGTTAATAGAGATCTTTCCTTAGGCGTTAAAGGTATATCTGAAATAACAACAACAATCTCTTACAGATACATTCGTCCGCGTGAAATTAAAACATAATAAACAAGTATAGTCTATGTTACTGAAAACGTAGCATTTTAATTGTAAAAGAATTTTTGAAATTGACCGAGTAGTTTTTGAGTTATTTCAATACATACAAAAATACAAATCTTTACAATATTAGTATAAATAGTATTCATAAGCACTAACCAGGCAAAGAATTCCTCTGCGTAGAGCGCGGCGAGACGAGAGGTGGTCTAGGTGACAAGGCCGGTCTCGTCATATGCTGCTGCGCCAGCGCTGCCACCTCCTCCACTGCTGAAGTGACCCCCTTCACCACTGAGCTGACATGGTCCGGAGATAACGCCGCAGCAGACATATCCAGTTCTTCATCAGTGGCATCCGCACGAAGACTCGCCACAGTCACCTCATCACATAACCTGATGAGCATCGCCAGCGCGGTGCAGAGCTTCCTCACCGCGCCGGTCAGCTGCGGCGACCGACTGCAGTACGGCTTTATTGCTACGAACACAACACTTTTACAACACTAAATATGTACGATTACAATTGATCGATTATATCAATTACCTTTATGTATATTCGCTATCGATTCGAATACTATCGTCCCGTTGTCCGGCAACATTTCCAGTTTTCTCTTTGTTATCACATCGGAGAAGTGCTTTAGGCCGAATGTCACCTAGAATAAATTATTTTAGTGCAAATTAAAGAGCGATTTTTAATTGTGTGATAACGCGTGACTTCATAATTTACGATGACCTAAAATTCGAGGTTTCCGATTACGGCGAACTTGTCCTAAATTGATATTTTATTGGTAACATGATCCTGTTATTAAATGTTAACCTTAGTAAAGCAGACAAAGATTGCTTTTGTACCCGAGATAAATTAAAGTTAGGTATAAAAATGATTAATGAACAAACATACGTACTTCTTTGACTAGTCGTTCCAACTCTTTGGCGGGTGTGACCTCACCTTCTTCAACGGTAGCAACAGTCTTAGGCCCCATGTTCCGAAGTTTCGGACTAAGTGGGGAATGTGATCTGTAACAATAATACTAAAGTTATATAACCGATTACTTTCTACAATAACTATAAAACATAATATTTAAGTATCATTAACTTAGACAAGTTTCACTTTACTGTTAACATAAATTTTTATACCGTCATCAATTTTTAGTAGTAATCTAGGTAATGAGAATAACAAGAATTTTCTAGCTAAGACATCGAGTGGAATTCTAAATAGTTGCGAAATTCTTCACGAGCATCGCACTGAGGTAACGAAAAAGCAAAGCTAAACAATATTTGATATTCAAGGGGCACCCAATCACAACACCCAATGCATATGAAAACACAAGTGAAACTGTAACGTATTGTTCAATCATATATTAACTTCACTTAATCACTCACAAAACACTAACCGCTGGCATATTGTGACAAATACGAGAAATTTGAGTCAAGCAAAACGTATTGTTTATTGTGAATAATTAACATGTACCGCAGCTGGTCGTACCGTTTTCCATTGTTAGCGAATCGTCGGTGCAGCCGGTTGGTGCGTTTGTTGAACCAGCCGCCGACCGGGGAGCGGCGTGTGGTCGACATTCGACAACTACTGAACCCGCGCCTCACTTATGACTGACGATTCAAACCCGGCAACTTTCGAATGAGTCCAAAAACACGAGTATCGTTATACATCCGCCGATCGATAAATATGAAGCGATACGACCTCGTCGACGAGTCGGTAGCGTTTAAATGTAATCACTTAACATTGCACGCACTAAACTAATGAGATTTCAGCGGACATTGTCATTAATGAGTGCGACAGTCGCAGGTCGCGGAGTGACTCACACCGACACGACACATTAACACAGCGGCACGCCACTATACCATAACTAGATACACCTAAATAATCGTAACACCATTACACACTCGCAAAATATATCCCCTTATTCTTGTATTCACGATAACACTGGAATGAGCGAAACTTTCTCGTCGACGCGGCGTTGTAGACACTGAGTTATGTGTGGACGTAATATTTATCAATTTAGATAACAAAAGAACCAATACAGTCGGCTTGTAGATTTCATCGCAATGTACACATGTCAAGATAAGGTTCCTGCGAGAAATGTTACCAAAATATACTAGGTAATGTAAACAGTCTTCAGACTTAAGATCCGAGTTCAGAGAAACATGCAATAAGCATATATTGATTAAATAATTATTTTTTATTCATTATGTACCTAAATATTCTGTCTTAGCGTTTCACATTATTGTATGTTATTCTGATACGAATAATTTTTTCTCATTCATTCTTATACTTGAAAAACCGTACTTTTTTTTAATGCAGAAATATTTTAACTTTACAGATCTGACGTTGAGCAATATTGTTAGCATAGATATCTGTTTTACATTCTGTATTTTCCTGCAATAAAATGAATACACAAAAGTCATTGTTTATTCGAGCAAGGATTGCAAATGTCGTTTGCAGTTCTATTAAAGTGAAGATAACGTCACGATCGGCCTAGAGGCGCCATCTGTGTAAGCACTCAGATAATGAGATCAGTATTCAATTAAAGTCCAATTATTTGCACACAACAAAAAATGTTCTAATGTATCGTGGACATCGGAACGACGATATTCTACTAGACATGAATGTGTTTACGCATGAGTCAGTCATGTATCGATATGATCGATTCAGTTATCCCTATATTTTATGTAAAATAATTTACTATGTCCTAAAACTTTATTCTATGGGAAGGTTGTTACAGACCTAATTTAATATTAATTATCGTTTATCAAAGGATATTAAATTGGGTGAATGAATTTGAAATTTAAATTTAAAATCATGGTTGCCACCCACTTTGCTTTCTTCAAATACCGTTACCGAGACCAACGACTCATTGCATATTATTTAACAAACAATAACTTTCCTTAAGCTTTTCAGAGGTTTCCAAGAAATTATATAATGAATTATGGAAAGGAAGTGATACCTGATAGCGGAGGAGAGGTGAGGCGGATGATGCGGCTGTGCCGGCGAGCGCATGTTGGAGATGCGCTCCAGCAGGTCGTCCTTGAAGGATCGCGCGCGGCGAGCCAACTTGTTGGCGCCGCGCAACGAGCCGCGG